TAATAATTCGCAACCCCGTAATAATTCGCAACCCCCCGTAATAATTCGTAACCCCGTAATAATTCGCAATCCCATAATAATTCGCAACCCCGTAATAATTCGCAACCCCGTGATAATTCGCAACCCCCCGTAATAATTCGCAACCTCGTGATAATTCGCAATCTAGGCTGATAATACTATACGCTATAACCTTTATAGAGCGCTACCTCCGAGTACAGTCGGCCTTACCTTGGTCGAGGACTACCGTAGGTAGAGAATTCTATCATAACCCTATATCGTAGGTAGACCGATAATAATATAGTAAGTTAAGTAGTACGTAGTAGTCGGTAAAGCTATAGAGGATTACGTAGTTTAGATAGACTACTAAGTTACAAGAATTGCGAAGTTATAAAAGGTTAATCGACTTCGTTGGATATAGGTATAGGAAATATCTACGTAGTCGTTAACCTTTACTAACTTCGTAATCCGCTAAAATAATAAAGGCTATTAAATAATTATTTATATATATAATATACGCCTAGTAAAGTAGCTTTTTATATAGCGGTGTAACTAGAATATAAGCTCCTCTATTAAGCTAGTGCCCAAATTTATACGCCTAGGTATACCTCGTATAAGGAGTGTGTATATCTAGTAAAAATTATTACGTACCTATAGGGGGCACTATAGTGCCTAAAATTATTATATTCCTAGGTAAAAGTAGTTCTATCTACGTACGCCCCTAAATATAGAGTTAGAATTATTACGAACCTAACTCGAATATAGAGGATAAAATACGCTAAACCTAAAGCGTACCCGAATTATTACGTCTTAATTCCCTATCGGTAGTATATCTAATTTTAAGCGTTAAGTAATATACTATATTATAGGATAGAATCGTTATATTACTATAAAATAAATAACTAATCGTAGTAGAGTTAGTATACTATACCCTAATACTTATAGTATTAATAGGATATAATACTCCGAGTCGGTACTAGTATCTCGTTAGAGATATACGGCAATTATAGTTAAGGTTACTTACGCTACTAAATATAATTTAAATATTTCTTACTTCTTCTATCGATTACGAATATAGAAATCGTAATTTCGGCGTAGAGGATATACCTATAAGTATATATAAAGGCTTCTAATATTAATAATTATTTAATTGAGACTCTTATCTAACTCTTTAGTTATAGAAGACGTCCGTACTCTATAATAAGTTCGTAGTAGTAGCTATTTATTACGAGTATTCGGTTCGAGATTAATATCGGCGAGTTCTATAGCGTACTCTAGCGAACTACTATATATTAGATATATACGACTAAGGATCCTACTGGTACTTAAACTATAGTATAGTGACTACGTAGGTTACTACCTCGACGGAAGGTTATTATAGTTATTGTTATAAGCCGTTATTTATTATTGTAATTTTATTACTACGGAAGGCTCTATATATTAGAATAATTTATACCTTAACTAGTTAGTTTAATTACCATAACCTATATATCGAATAATTTATTTAATTATTATAATCTATATATCGAATAATTATTCGTTTATTATAATCTACATATCGAATAATTATTAAATTACTATAACCTATATATTAGGGTTTAGGGTTTAGGGTTTAGGGTTTAGGGTTTAGGGTTTAGGGTTTAGGGTTTAGGGTTTAGGGTTTAGGGTTTAGGGTTTAGGGTTTAG